ACTAGAAAAAGAAAAAGAAACAAAGCCCAAAATCAGTAGAAGGGGGAAATAATAAAAATCAGATGGGAAATAAATTAAATAGAGACTAACAAAACAACAGGAAGGATCAATGAAACTAAGAGCTGGTACTTTGAGAATGCAAACAAAATTGGCAAGCCCTTAGCTAGACTTACTAAGAAAAAAAGAGGGAAGTCTCAAATAAATAAAATTAGAAATGAAAAGGGAGAAATTACAATGGATACCACAGAAATACAAAGGACTATAAGAGAATACTATGAAAATATATATGTCAACCTATTGTATAACCTGGAAAAATTGGATAATTAGACTCATTCAACCTCCCAAAAAATTAATCAAGAAGAAATAGAAACTCTGAATAGACCAATCACAAAGCAAGAGATTGAAACAGTAATCAAAATCCTCCAAAAAAATAAAATTCCAGGACCAGGGCTTCTCTGGAGAATTCTACCAGACATTCAAAGAAGATTTAATACCTATCTTTCTCAAACTAGTCCAAAAAATTAAGAAGATGGAACACTTCCTAAGACATTCTATGAATCCAACATCATTCTCATCTCAAAGCCAGACAAGGGCAACAAAAAAAGGAAAAGTAGAGGCCAATATTACTGATGAACACAAATGCAAAAATCCTCAACAAAATATTGGCAAACTGAATACAGCAATACATTAAAAGGATAATATACCATGACCAAGTCGGATTCATAACAGAGATCCAGGGATAGTTGAGCATTCACAAATCAATCACTGTGATACACTACATTAACAAAATGAGGAATAAAAAACACATGACTACGTCAAAAGATGCAGAAAGCATTTGGCAAGAGCCAACATCTATTTATGATAGAAAAAAATTCTCAATAAAATGGATATAGAAGGAAAGTACCTCAACATAATAAAGGCCATATATGACAAACCCACAGCCAACATTGTGTTCATTTGGGAAAAACTGAAAGGCATCTCTTTGAGAACAGGAATAAGATAAATGTGCCCCTCCCACTGCCCCTATTCAACATAGTACTGGAGGTTTTGGCCTGAGCAATTAGGCAAGATAAAAAAAAAATAAAAGGTATCCAAATTGGCAAGGAAGAATGGAAACTCTCCCTGTTTGAAGATGACATGATTTTATATATAGAAAATCCTAAAGACTGCATCAGAAAACTGTTAGAAATAACCAAATACATCAAAATTGCAGGACACAAAATCAACTTACAAAAATCAGTTGCATTTCTATACACAAATAACAAACTAGCAGAAAGGGAAATCAAGAATACAATCCCATTTACAAGTGCAACAAAAAGAATAAAATATCTAGGAATATACTTAATCAAAGAAGTGAAAGATCTATACAATGAAAACTACAAAATATTATTGAAAGAAATCTATGATAACATAAAGTAATGGAATGATATTCCATACAAATAGATTTGAAAAACAAACTTTTTAAAAATGTCCATACTACCTAAAGAAATCTACAGATTCAATGCAATCCCAATCAGAATCCCAATGACATTCTTCACAGCAATAGAACAATCTTAAAATTCATATGGGGTAACAAAAGACTCTGAATAGCTAAAGCAATCCTGAGAAAAAAGAATAAAGCTGGAGGCATCCTAATCCCTGACGTCAAAATATACTACAAAGCTATAGTAATCAAAACAGCATGGTACTAGTAGACAAACAGACACACAGATCAATAGAACAGAATTGAAAGCCCAGAAATATAACCACACATCTACAGAGAGCTGATCTTTGACAAAGAAGCCAAGAACAGACAGTGGAGAAAGGAAAGTCTCTTCAATAAATGATGTGAAAAGTGGACTTCCAGATGCAAAAAATGAAAGTAGACCATTATCTTCCATCATACACAAAAACTAACTGAAAATGAATTAAAGACTTGAAGTTAAGATGTGAAACCAAAAACTCATAGAAGAAAATATAGGTAGTTCACTCTTTAACATCTACATTAGAAGGCTCTTTTCCAATACCATGTCTACTTGGACAAGGGGAACAGAAGAAAAAAGAAACAAATGGGTCTATATCAGACTAAAGAGCTTCTGCAAGGCATAGGAAACCAGGAACAAAATGAAAAGATGACCCACCAACTGGGAGAAAATATTTACAAATCATATGTCTGACAAGGGATTAATCTCCAAAATATATAAAGAACTCACACAACTCAACAACAAGAAAACAAACAACCCAGTTAAAAGTGGACAGAGGATATGAACAGACATTTTTCCAAAGAAGATATACAGATGGCAAATAGGCATGTGAAAAGATGTACAACATCATTAACCTTTAGGGAAATTAAAATCAAAACTATAATGAAATATCACCTTACACCTGTTAGAATGGCAATAATTACCAAGACAAAAAACAACAAATGTTGGAGAGGATGTGGAGAAAATGGAACTCTCATACACTGCTAGTGGGAATGCAAATCGGTGCAGCCACTATGGAAAACAGTATTGAGATTTCTCAAAAAATTAAAAATAGAAATACCATGTGATCCAGCTATACTACTGCTGGGTATTTGTCCAAAGAACTTGAAGTAAGCAATTCAAAGAGACTTGTGCACCCCTATGTTCATTGCAGCATAATTCACAATAGCAAAGACATGGAAGCAAAACAAGTGCTCATTGACCAATGAATGGATAAAGAAGGTGTGGTATATATATATGGTATATATATCTATTATATATAGATATCTATATATAATAGATATATATACACACACAGGCATACTACTCAGCCATAAAAAAGACAAAATCGTCCCATTTGCAACAACGTGGATGAAACTTGAGGGCATTACGTTAAGTGAAATAAGTCATATAGAGAAAGAGAAACAGTGTATAATTTCACTCATGTGTGGAAGATAAACAAACACATTGATAAATCAAACAGATTAGTGGTTTCCAGAGGGAAAGGGAGTTGGGGGGTGGGTATAAGGGGTAAAGGGGCACATATATATAGTGACTGATAAATAATAACGTACAACTGAAATTTCACAATGTTTTAAACTATTAGGACCTCAATAAAACTTTTAAAATGCATTCTTGGGTAATCTGAGACTTAAAGGGACATCATATACATTAATTATTTAGCCCAATAAATTCACAGCTCAATTATCAAAGTAATACAAGCTGAAATAGCAAGTACCTTTCCTTCTCTCTTCTAACATAGACTCATTCTCTATGAAATAATCACATGCAATATTAAAAATACAGAATTTTTTTATATAAAGCTAATGCCTCCCACTCAAAAACAATATCTTAATAAACATTTAAAACAGAATGGTTTTACTTTGTACAAAGCAATAGGTCTATAAAGCATTCATATCCACAGCTGTAATATACACAGACAATGATTTCAGCTTCCTCACAGTCTTCTAAAAATGCAATTAAACCCTATTTATCCAGACAATTTTATGATTCGTGGAGTTGACTCAGAAGTTTTATTCTAATGCCCCCTGTCACTTGTACAGAATGATATTACACACCAAAGCAATCCTTGAAGATGCTATCTCATCTTTATTAAACTCTGTGGACTGATGTATATTTTCCCAACTTTCACCTGGATAAATAGACTGACTTGTTCTCCCCACTTCACGCATCACCATTTCTAGTATCAAAGATGTGTTTAGGATCCTCTGGGGCCCATTCTGCAGATTTGTCTGCTGCATGTCACCTTTCACTTGTGAGGGGCCTCCAGGCTGTAGTCCATGCTATAAAAACAAACTCAAGTTTAAGAGAGCCCAAATACAAGCTAAACTTTCTGCCATCAATATTTTAAAAATCCCCTCATTGTTTATAGCCTGCCGTTGTAGTAGGACCCATGCCTGAACAACAGGTTAAGTCCTATAGATCTCTAAGATTCAGACTCCCTCAGGCTAGATTCTAGATCTTGCAAGCAATTGTGGGACAGTGATTTCAAACCTTTGCTCTAAAGGAGTACTGACAGAATTTCCCATTACAAATATTCCAATGTACATCTTTAAAGAACCAAAGCCAAAATATTTTTATCAGGCTCAAAGAAAGTATTGGTGTTTTCCAAAATCCATCACAGCTCCCTTTACAGCCCAACTCCATTAGCAAAATTCTCTGCATTGCCTAAGAAACTAGCAAGAAGAGGAGGCTCCTGGTCAATTGAGTATCTATCTACATAGGAAAGCCCTTTGTGTGAATTATGTTTTTTTCTTTTTTTTTTTTAAAGATTTTTTTTAATTTTTCTCCTTTTTCTCCCCAAAGTCCCCCGGTACACAGTTGTATATTTCGTTGTGGGTCCTTCTAGTTGTGGCATGTGGGACGCTGCCTCAGGTTGGTCTGATGAGCAGTGCCATGTCCGCGCCCAGGATTCGAACCAACGAAACACTGGGCCGCCTGCAGCGGAGCGCGCGAACTTAACCACTCGGCCATGGGGCCAGCCCCGAATTATTTTCTTAATATATGTTTTTCCCATGAAATAGAAACAACTTTTGATTATTACGATTATTACAATTGGGGTGAAAAAGAGGGGGGAGGGGACAAGATGAATCAAAGTGACAAGCAATAAAAACTCAACTGTGAAAAAAAATATTTGTTTCTATGAGCAACACATAAGGTTAAGACGGAGAGGGCAGTGTAAAGTCATGCAAAGCGTTTAACAAAATATACATAAATGTTAGGGAAGTTAGGATTACAATAGTTCTTAACAGATAAATGTGTATATTCATACTTCTATCATATCAGTCAATAAACTAAAGCTACATGAAAAAATGAAACAAGTACTTGATCAAGATGTAAAATCAACCAGTTTATTTTAAAACTACCAATTGTATTTAGTCAGTAATAATGAGTGAAAGCAAACACAAATCTTAGACTGAATATTAGAGAATATTTTAAAACACAAGTACAAATGGCCCCTCTGGTTTTTCCCCTTTAACTCCCAGTGCTCTTGGTTTCTTTATGATGTCACAGTCGACATCACTATTTGAACTTACAGTGCTTAAGTTCTGGCAAATCACAAGGGGGGCAAATGGCTACACCAAGATTGTAAGTTGTTTTCTCAAATTTTATGTCTTCAAATAATTAAAATGCTCTAGTTAGCTTTACATTTATTCTCTTTAGTGTAAAGAGATGTTTGGGTATTTAGAAGGAGCTGTTTATTTTTCAACTATTTGTGTATTTTCTATATAATTTTCTTATTTATTTCTAACTCAATTGCTTGGCGATCATAGGATATTCCCCAGAGATTACACAAAGAATTAATGGACCACATCTACGTACCACTTTTTAAATCTCAAATTTAATAATATTGTTTCATGAACCTGAAATATCTCCTCTTTCATAGCACTTAGAATAGAGAAGTTCATAACCATGCTGAAAATAAAAATTTCTTCATCATTGTATAAATGTACTTTGGGTAGATCCAAACCTAGAGATTCAGATATAGCGAGGTAAGTAATTTTAATGCATGTCGTCAATAAAGAAAACAGTAGACCAGATAATGTATTGGTTAATACATCCTAAATTGTATTCAATTAGTTCATTCAAATTTTTATAAAGTAATAGAAATGTGCCAGGTCTTATGCTGGGGACCAGATCTTTAATGAAGGAATCAAGATTTTTTTTTAAATTGAGGTCACATTCGTTTATAATGTTATATAAATTTCAAGTGTACTTCATATTTCAACTTCTGTATAGACTGCATTGTCTTCAATACCAAAGGTCTAGTTGCCATCCATCATTATACACATGTCCCTTTACCTCTTTTGCCCTCCTACCATCCCTTCCCCTTTAGCAGCTACCAATCTCTTCTCCATATCAATGTGTTTCTTTATCTTCCACATATGAGTGAAGTCATATGGTAATTGTCTTTCTCTGTCTGACTTATTTCACTTAGCATAATACCCTCATGGTCCATCCATGTTGTCACAAATGGCAAGATTTCATCTTTTGGCTGAGTAGTTTGCCATTTGCCATTGTACTTATATACCACATCTTCTTTATCCATCCTGTGTCAGTGGGCACTTAGATTGCTTTCAAGTCTTGGCTATTGTGAACAATGCAGCAATGAATATAGGGGTGGAAGGATCTTTCCAAGTTAGTGTTTCCGTTTTCTATGGATAAATACCCAGAAGTGGAATAGCTGGATCGTGTGGTATTCTAACTTTATTAGGAATCTCCATATTGATTTCCATAGTGGCTACACCAATTTATGATACATTTTTTTTACTGAGTTCATAATAGTTTACATGATTGTGGAATTTCAGTTGTACATTATTGCTTGTCCCTCACCATAAAAGTGCTCCCCTTCATCCATTATGCCCATCTTCCACTCCCCTTCCCCTGGTAACCACTGAACCATTTTCTTTGTCCATGTGTTTGTTTATATTCCACATATGAGTGAAATCGTATGGTGTTAGTCTTTCTCAAGTGGCTTATTTTGCTTAGCATAATACCCTCCAAGTCTATCTATGTTGTTGCAAAGGGGATGATTTTGTCTTTTTTATGGCTGAGCAGTATTCCATTGTAAATATATACCACATGATCTTCATCCAATCATTGTTTGATGGGCACTTGGGTTGTTGCCATGTTTTGGCTATTGTGAATAGTGCTGCAGTGAACGTAGTGGTACATCTGTCACTTTAGATGGCTGATTTCAAGTTGTTTGGGTAGATATGCAGTAGTGAGATAGCTGGGACATATGGTATCTCTATTGTCAGTTTTTTGAGGAATCTCCATACTGTTTTCTATAGTGGCTGCACTAGTTTGCATTCCCACCAGCAGTGTATGAGTGTACCCTTCTCTCCACACCCTCTCCAACATTTGTTATTTTTAGTCTTAGTTGATTATAGCCATTTTAACAGGTGTCAGGTACTATCTTAGTGTAGGTTTGATTTGCATTTCCCTTATGATTAGTGATGTTGAACCTCTTTTCATGTGTTTATTGGCCATCTGTATATCTTCTTTGGAAAAATGTCTGTTCATATCCTCTACCCATTTTCTGATTGGGCTCTTTGCTTTTGTGTTGTTCAGTTGTGTGAGTTCCTTATATATTATGGAGATTAACCTCTTGTGGGATATATGATTTCTAAATATTTTTTCCCATTTGGTGGGTTGTCTTTTGATTTTCATCCTGGTTTCTTTTGCCTTGCATAATCTCTTTAGTATGATGAAGTCCCACTGGTTTACTTTTTCTTCTGTTTCCCTTGTCTGAGAAGACATGATATTCGAAAAGATCCTTTTAAGTTCAATGTTGCAGAGTGCACTACCTATATTAGCTTCCAGGAGTTTTATGGTTTCAGGACTTATCTTCAAGCCTTTGATCCGTTTTGGGTTTATTTTTATGTTTGGCTTGAGAATATGGTCTGCTTTCATTCTTTTACATGTGATTGTCCAGATTTCCCAACACTGGTTATTGAAGAGCTTATCTTTTCTGCACTGTATGTTCTTGGCAGCTTTACCAAAGATTAGCTTTTGTAGATGTGCAGTTTTATTTCTGGGCTTTCAGTTCTGTTCCATTGATTTGTGTGCCTATTTTTGTACCTGTACCATGCTGTTTTGATTACTATGGCTTTGTAGTGATGCCTTCAGATTTGTTCTTTTTTCTCAGGATTGCTTTAGCAATTTGGGGTCTTTTGTTGCCCATATGAATTTCAGGATTCTTTGTTGTACTTCTGTGAAGAATGTCATTGGGATTTGGATGGGGATTGTGTTGAGTCTGTAGGTTGCTTTAGGCAGTATGGTAATTTTAACTATATTCTTCTAATCGATGTGCCTGGAACGTCTTTCCACCTCTTTATGTCATCATCAACTTCTTTCAGGAAAGTCTTGTAGTTTTCATTGTCTAGGTCTTTCACTTCCTGGGTTAAATTTATCCCAAGATATTTTATTCTTTTTGTTGCAATTGTGAATGGGATTGTGTTCTTCAATTCTCTTTTTGTTAGTATGTTATTAGAGTATAGAAATGCTACTGATTTATGTAAGTTTATTTTATAACCCTGCAACTTTGCTGTAGTTATTGATTATTTATAATCATTTTCCAATGGATTCTTCGTGGTTTTCTATATATAAGATCATGTCGTCTGCAAACAGTGAGAGTTTCACTTCTTCATTGCCTATTTGAATTCCTTTTATTTCTTTCTCCTGCATGATTGCTCTGGCCAAAACCTCCAGTACTATGTTGAATAAGAGTAGTGAGAGTGGACACACTTGTCTTGTTCCTGTTCTCAGAAGGATGGCTTTCAGCTTTTGCCCATCGAGTATGATGTTGGCTGTGGGTTTGTCATATATGGCCTTATTATGTTGAGGTATGTTCCTTCTATACCCATTTGATTGAGAGTTTTTATCATAAATGGATGTTGGATCTTATCGAATGCTTTCTCTGTGTCTATTGAGAGGATGATGTGGTTTTGATTTCTTATTCTGTTAATGTGGTGTATCACGTGATTGACTTGCAGATGTTGAACCATCCCTGTGTCCCTGGTATAAATCCCACTTGATCATGGTGTATGATCTTTTTCATGTATTGCTGTATTTGGTTTGGTAAAATTTTTGAGGATTTTTGCATCTATGTTCATCAGTGATATTGGCCTTTAGTTTTCCTCCTTTTTGTTGTCCTTGTCTGGTTTTGGGATCAGGATGATGTTGGCTTCATAGAATGTGTTAGGAAGTACTCCATCTTCCTTGATTTTCTGGAATAGTTTGAGAAGGATAGGTATTAAATCTTCCTTGAATGTTTGGTAGAATTCTCCAGAGAAGCTGTCTGGGCCTGGACTTTTATTTTGGGAGAACATTTTTATTACTGTTTCAATTTCTCTACTTGTGATTGGTCTATTCAGATTCTGTATTTCTTCCTGATTTAGTTTTGGGAGGTTTTAAGAGTCTAAAGAATTTATCCATTTCTTCTAGGTTGTCCAATTTTTTGGCATATAGTTTTTCATAGTATTATCTTACAATCTTTTGTATTTCTGTGGTATCCATTGTGATTTCTCCTCTTTCATGTCTAATGTTATTTATTTGAGTCTTCTCTCTTTTTTTCCTTAGTGAGCCTGGCTAAGAGTTTGTCAGTTTTGTTTAATTTTTCAACGAATCAGCTCTTTGTTTTATTGATCCTTTCTACTGTCTTTTTTGTTTCAGTTTCATTTATTTCACCTCTAATTTTTGTTATTTCTCTCCTTCTACTGACTTTGGGCTTTGTTTATTCTTTTTCTAACTCTGTTAGGTGTAGTTTGAGACTACTTATCTGAGATTTTTCTTGTTTATTGAGGTCAGCCTGTATTGTGATTAATTTCCCTCTTAGGACAGCTTTTGCTGCCTCCCAAATGAGTTGGTATGGTGTGTTTTCATCTTCATTTGTATTCAGATAATATAGGATTTCTCCTTTAATTTCTTCAATGATACACTGGTTGTTCAGCAGCATGTTGTTTAATGTCCACATTTTTGCCTCCCTCCAAGCTTTTTTCTTGTAGTAAATTTCTAGTTTCATAGCATTATGGTCAGAAAACATGCTTGATATTATTTCAATCCTCTTGAATTTGTTGAGGCTTGCTTTGTTCCCCAACATATGGTCTATCCTTGAGAATGTTCCATGTGCACTTGAGAAGAATGTATAACCTGCTATTTTTTTGGATGGAGTGTTCTCTATATTTATCTACTAAGTCCATCTGGTCTAGTTTTTTATTTAATTCTACAATTTCCTTGTTGACTTTCTGTCTCGTGATCTATCCATTGGTTTTAGTGGACTGTTGAGGTCCCCAACTATTTTTGTATTGTTGTTGATATCTCCCTTTAGTTTTGTTAATAGTTGCTTTACATACTTTGGTGCTCCTGTGTTGGGTGCATATATATTTATAAGTGTTATGTCTTCTTGATAGAGTGTCTCTTTTATCATTATAGACTGCTTCTCTTTCTCTCCCTTTACCAGTTTTGCCTTGAAGTCTACTTTGCCTGTTATAAGTATGGTGACTCCTGTTTTATTACATTCACTATTAGCTTAGAGTATTGTCTTCTATCCCTTCACTCTGAGTCTGTGTTTGTCTTTGTGGCTGAGGTATGTTTCCTGGAGGCAGCATATTGTTGGGTCTTGTTCTTTAATCCATCCTGCCAGTTTGTGACTTTTGATTGGAGAGTTAAATCCATTTATATTTAAGGTGATTATTGATATATGAGGGCTTAATGTTGCCATTTTATCACTTGTTTTCTAGTTCTCCTGCATTTCCTTTGTTTTTCATCCTGTGTGTTTAAGCCTACCAATTGAGTTATGTAGGTTTTTATGTTGTGTTTCTTTGTTTCCTCCTTACTTATTTGTGTCTCTGTTATGCTTTTTTGTTTAGTGGTTACCATGAGGTTTTTATGGATAATCTCATAGATAAGATAGTCCATTTTCTGATGGCCTCTTATTTCCTTAGATTAAACCAATTCAGTCCCTTCCTCCTCCCCTCCTAGTTGTTTCTGTCACATCTTATTTAATCTTGTATTGTGAGTTTGTGGTTAAAATTTCAAGATTATCTTTCTTTTTGGTGTTTTCCTTCTCTTTCCATCTTTAATGTTATACTTGAGTATTTCCTAACCTGTTCTGATGTGAAGCTAGAATTTTCTGATTTTGTCTACCTATTTATCTCCTTACTCTGTGGTTTGCAACCCCTATATCCCCCCCTTTTTTTTTCAGGTATTAGGGCCTTCTTGAGGATTCCTTGTAGAGGGTGTCTCGTGGCAATGAATTCCCTTAGCTTTTCTTTATCTGAGAAAGTTTTTATTTCTCCACCTCATCTGAAGAATATTTTCACTGGATAGAGTATTCTTGACTGAAAATTTTTGTCCTTCAAAGATTTGAGTATGCCATTCCAGTCTCCTAGGCTGTAAGGTTTCTGCAGAGAAATCCTCTGAAAACCTGACAGGGGCTTCCTTGTCGGGTCCAAGAGCTGCATATTCTGAGCTCTCTGTGTTCTCCACGATCCCAGGCACTGGAGCCAGAGCTGGGCAGGTGGGGCGGGGCACTTTCTTCTGAGTGCTTTTGTGGCTTACTGGCTCTGCTCTTCCTATCTGCTGTCCTGGGGTGTTGGCTTGATGATATCACCTCCACCATAGCTTCCAACTTGGTAGGGGGCTTTCCCTTAGGCTACGAGGGACCTCAGGGAACTTTGATGTTCCCGTGAACAAGTATCCCTTCCCTCTCAGAGGCCACGTGCAGTCCCAGGTTACAGTCTTTTGGGGAGACAGCAACGTTTCTCTTATCCCATTCCACCTCCTGCTATGGGGGCGCCAGCCTCTCTGTTCTCCAACATATGTCTGTGTGGGTCTCAGACATCTTTTGTGTTTTGCGAGTATACTCTGTTGGAGTATGAATGTCTTTTTTGTTGTATCATGGAAAGGAGATATTCCCAGGAGAGTTCACTCTGCTGTGATGCTGATGCCACTCAAGATACTTTTTTGTTAATATACTTTATTTCTTAATATTTATGTATTGTCAAAATAAGTAAAACTGTATGAGAGCATGTTTATATGTGTTTAAGCCCAAAACTCACTCATGATCAACAATGGCTTTATTTCTGTAATATAACAGGATGATGTAGAATATTTTTCTAGCAGATCTTAATAATTGTCTCCAATACAAATAAATAAAAGTTAGATTATAAAATTCCAATTTATGGAAATAAACATGTTCATATATTACTAAAACTAATGGAAACTTATAAATTGAAAATACATTGCAACATATTTTTATTTCTCAGATTTTCCTGGAGAACGAAAAAACTCAAACCCTATATCAATAGTGGTGGTGCACACTGACACATACATTCCTAGACACACTCATATGCCATTGAATGATTTGGATTTGTTTAATTATTTTGAAGATCTGATTTTACCTAACCATACTGTTTTTAAAGGAATGTCTTATCTAAAATTCAATTTAAAGAGAATTTGGAGTGTGAGATGGGGAAAAAGAATTCATTCACATTTTTATGATGAAAAATAAAGTCTACATTTCAGATATGATAAGTTGGTGAGGCTTTTTTTTAACTGGTTTTATCCACCTTGTTTTTAGTTTTGTTGAAGTTTGTGCTAAAAACACACATTGGCTCATCTCTATTTTTCTGGAATAAATTAATATTACATAATAATAGAGATCTGAGAATGAAAAATATTTCTCTGCTGCTGGTGGCAAGCAGTTATACATAATAATGAGATTGAGTGATTTTGTATAAATTAATTAAAAATTTTCCCTCTTATTTTAATAGCCAGAAAGCAAGCTTTGGGACCTCTGGTAATTACATTCCAGGTAAGAAGAATTCAATTTTATTTTTAAATATATGATTAATTTTAGGGATAAGTTATCATTATCCTCCATTCAAAGTGATAAAGCAATACCTGTCATGGAGTAAAATAAAAATCAACTTTTTATTTTCCAAGGCACCTTTCACATGGGCTCAATGAACACCTTCTAAAGATATTTTGTTTTTAAATCCAAAGAAGATTAAGCAAATACTCAGCAACAAAAAGGTGGACATATTTGCAGATTAGAAATCATATAATCAGATCATTCTGTTGAAAGACAATGTAGAAATTGGCTAAACAACTTCTCACCCATGTCAGGAATGTCTTCTACTACATTCCTGATAGATTTTATCAGGCTTATAACTGGCCAAAAAATTCATTACTTGACAAGGCCAGTCAATCAGATTTTGAAGGACTTCATATATCAAGTGATTATCCCTCACATATTGAACCTAAATATGCCTCTCATTCTGTATATTTTCTCATTGATCCTGATTCTGTCTTTGGGAGAGTCACAGGACAAGTCTATTTTCTCTTACACACAGTATTATTGCACATACTTAAACACAGTGAAGACATCTCTCTCACTGGTCTCATTGGTAACCTAAATGACTATAACCATTTCTATTATAGTTTCCAGGTAAATTTATCATCCCAGTCACAATTCTGTAGGTACCCTTTATCTGTCAATTTTCTTCATTAATATGCCACCTATGACAATGCAGTTCTTAGGGGTATAACATTTACTCTTGTAGCTTGGAAAATGATTACCAACTAAGAGGATCTTAAGCATCAACATTTAGATTCAATCATACGTTTACTAAATGTTTTATAACAGGTACTTCCCTAAGCACTTTGGGGGTTACAGAAGTAGTAATTATATTTTCTGTTCTCAATAGAATTGTAATCTAACCCAAGGAGTACAAAGCAAAAATCTAGACTGGAAGAGATAGAAAGATGAAAAGGAAGCAGAAAAATTGTTTTTTTCCATTTATATTACAGAATATTAGTTTCACAGTGACTATTTTATACAGTTATCTGTAAAGCTGGTCAAAAATCAATTTTTATTTTCTCCTATCAATAGCAGATATTTTCAAATATTACCAAATAAATGAAGTCATGATTTGAATCATTTGTTCATTACATGAAATGTATTAGCTTGACAATTATAATTCTGATGAAATCTTATTTACTCTAAAAATTATGTTTAATATTTTCTTATCTCAGTCAGTGAATTAAACAGAAAATCATGGAATCAGCAATACTTTACTCTGGCATTTCCCAAACCACCACGGCCAGGAAAAAAAAGGAGATCAATGCCTTCCCAAATACGAGAAAATAAAATTCCTGTGAGTATTGAAAAGATCATATAATTTTACTAGTAATAAACTTGTGAAATCATATGTAGGTTACAGATCAATGCTGACCAATGATATTTCTATGATGATGCAAATATTTTATATCGTAGCTCTCCAATGTTGCTCTTAAACACTGGAAATCAGGCTAGTGTAACTTAGGAACTAAATTTTACATTTCATTTCAAAACAGATGTGACTTAAATACCAAATTGGATAGCACAGTTAAAAGCAATTCAAATTCTACTACTTGAAAAAAGTAAATCTATTTTATTTGCATTTCATGGTATAAAAATTACCCTCCTATTTCATATTAACTATTTGTTCATAAACCTCACATTATAAAAAATATATATCCACAGAGCAGGAAAATCTGGAGATCCTAATGCTACAGTTAGTATGAACATTCACAAAATTTTCCCCAGGTGGAGAAACGCCCTAATGAGAATTAGGGAGTTACATTATAGCCTGATACAGTTTCAGTAACATTTCCTGTAACATAGAATCTAGGATTCTGAATTTTGGAAGATAAATATCTTCCAATGTTTCTGGAGCCATTGTGGGATATGAAAATGTTCAGAAAAAGTTTTCACAAGATAAATGTGTCCTCAACTCTTGTTCACTTTATGGAAAATGTATCCGATCACCAGTGATCCAGGTTTTTTCTGTCTTCTCATGTTCTTTTCCTTTCTTTTCTTTACTCAAAATATTTTTCCATGTTTTGCTAACATTCTTTCCAAAATTTGCTATTTTTGCAATTAAGTTTTTGCAAATATTTGGTTAGACATTCCAAACAAAATGTACCATTCTGCACAAACTAATGTGCACTGAATGTTACAGCTTTCATTATTACAATTTCCTATCTGATAATACTCAATTTGTGTCTTGTCAAACAGGAGGAGTTTCAGGCTTTTATTTTACTTTGTGTATATGTGAGGGAGATTGGCCCTGAACTGACATCTGTGCCAATCTTCCTCTATTTTGTATGTGGGATGCTGTCATAGCATGGCTTGATGAGCAATGTCTGGGTCTGTGCCTGGGATCCAAACCAGTGATCCCTGGGCCACTGAAGCTAAGCACATGAACTTAACCACTACACCACCAGGCCAGTCCTTAGGGTTTTACTTTTAACCACAGGTAGCATTCTAAATTCCAGGAACGTTGAATGTGGCAATAGAGACCAGGATATACGTGAACATTAAACTATTAGATATTAGAGAATAATTAGTTTCTGCATTAACATAGGAATGGAAGGTGGGCAAGACATCCCAAGAATTCTCAAGAACACAGAGTCCAAAAGAAAAACCTCTCCTGATTCTGAAGAGAGGTTCTGATATGTCATTAGTTAGTGGAGGTCTCTACTAATTTTAGTATAAAATCTCAAGGAAATATGAATATCCTCTAAATTGAAATTATGCGGCAAATTAGGCATAGCTATCCATTAGTCCAAAAACAATAAAATTGAAAAAGCAAAATAAACTATGAAATCTACAATTTATCCACTCTTTATCAATATCTAAGATCTTTTCATGGTTGAAGTTAAAATGTATTTGATAGCTGCTAAGAAAGGCTGTGTAAATCACACCCAAGTTGTTCATCATTATTTTAACCAATATTCCAGGAATATGATGCAGGCAAATTAAGAGGAGTTCATAGACGACCATTATGGATGCACCGTTCTTTAATGACAATTTCCGAACAACCATCTGCTTATTTAGCTGTCAGGACTCAGCCTTCATCTAAATCAGCTGGTCTGCCAAAGAAAGATGCTGAAGCAGCTGGTGTAGGGACGCCCTTATCTACAGCAATAGATAAGAAAGATAGAGAAGACAAGGCAGAAAATAAGGACAAATCAGATTCAGAAGCAGAATCTACAGCTTTACAGGAGGTAAAAAAGAAAGATTCAAAGAAAGACAAGGGTATAGAAATAGGAACTAAAGGTGAAAAAGACATTGAAAAACCAGATGCCAAAAAAGGTAAAAGTTCAAAGAAGGGCAAAGAGTCATCTACAGAATCTGAGGATGAGAAAAAAGATGCAAAGAAAGATGCCAAAAAAGATAAAGGTGCAAAGAAGGGCAAAGAGTCAGCTACAGAATCTGAGGATGAGAAAAAAGATGCAAAGAAAGATTCCAAAAAAGATAAAGGTACAAAGAAGGGCAAAGAGTCAGCTACAGAATCTGAGGATGAGAAAAAGGATGCAAAGAAAGATGCCAAAAAAGATAAAGATGCAAAGAAGGGTAAGGGGTCACCTACAGAATCTGAAGCTGAAAAAAAGGATGAAAAGAAAGATTCCAAAAAAGATAAAGGGTCAAAGAAGGGAAAGGGGTCATCTCCAGAATCTGAAGGTGATAAAACAGATGCAAAGAAGGATAAGGATGAGAAAAAAGACAAAAAGAAAGCCAGTGAGAAGGGTGATGAAGCAAAGGACAAGAAAAATGCAAAGGAGAAGGGGGATAAAAAGGATAAGAAAGACGACAAGAAGGCCGCTAAGGCAGATAGCAAATCAAAGGAAGATGTCTCAAAAGATACTGCCACAGAATCTGCTGATGCAAAGAAGGATGCAAAGAAGGATGCAAAGAAAGATGCAAAGAAGGATGCAAAGAAGGAGGCAAAGAAGGAGGCAAAGAAGGGCAAGTAGGCCTTGCATAATAATACAAAAGCATATTTGATAAAACAGTTTTAATATTCTGAAACTGAATCTATGAGTGTAAAGGGCAGTTCAAAGAATTAATCAAATAATTTTAAAATGGAGCAAAGAAGACTACAAAGAAAGACTCAGAAGCTTCACTAAAAATGTAAGACACGTATTAAGAAAAATTAAGAGACAATTTGTGGAAGGACTTGGATGATATTTGTGCTAAATTTGGAGATATAAAGGATTCAGTGAAAGATCCCTAGAAAGATTAAAGAAGAATATTTAAATAAGAATACAGAAATTAATGATGCTGGATCTGTGGATACAAAATCCCCAAAACAACAGTCTTCAAAAAATTCCAAGGACGTGTGGGTTGAATCCATAGATTCAAACACTCTGAAGCTGCATCTACAGATTTAAATCAAGAACCAGAGGAGTCATGAAGAGAAGTTAAACAAATTTCAGAAAGTCTACTTTCAAATAAATACAAATGCAAATTAAAGGTAGCATTCTTCAAAAAAAAAAATATCCTTACTTCCTTGTGAACGTATACCACTGTCTATGAAGTTTAAACAGCCACAACCAGGTGGATGGATGTTGATTGTTTCACTTTCAAGCTCAGATAAACACAATTGGTAAGTTAGTTTTGTTTTATTTCAAGCCAAATAGCAACAAACAATAACTGAATCAATGTAAGGTCTGAATTGATATGTAACATTCTTATAAAATCTCTGTAATCTGCTGATTAGAATTTTACTAGAATTTATCAAGTATGAGTTTTCTCATTATAAGAAATATTTGAAGTATTTAGTGGGAACACCACATGAATGAAGATTTAAAAAGTGTCAGTGAAAAGGCTAGGGGAAGTACAGTTATTTATTGTGAGGGAGAAGAGACTGGCTTATGATATATGACAACTTTAACAATCACTTATTGAGAGTATTTTTTTTAAACAGAAAATAGTGGACAACTTCTCTCCATTTAAGGAAGGAGGAGGGGGCTGGCTCTGTGGCCTAGTCATTAAAGTTCCATGCACTCCACTTCAGCAGCATGGGTTTGCACATGCGGATCCCAGGTGTGGACCTATTCTACTCATCAGCCATGCTGTGGAGGCATCCCACCTACAAAATAAAGGAAAGTTTGGCACAGATCTTAGCTTATGGCTAATCTTCCTCAAGGGAAAAAAAAAGAAAGAGGAAGATTCCCAACTGGCGTTAGCTCAGGGAGCATCTTCCTCACCAAAAAACAAAAAAAACGGGAAGGATGAAAATCAAAATTGTCCAAATTACCAATGTGAGTAAACTTAAATGAGGCATATTAAAGAGATTCCTGATAAATTGCTAAATATGCATACAAAACCAAATTAATGAGAATTTAAGACTAAGAGTGAAAATATCTGCATGATGTTATTCAGATATGGAAACAACTTTATATATTTATAACTATATTAAACTCCTTTGTGACCCATAAGTCCTATTGATGTGAAGAAAAATAAAAAACTATATAAAGCAAAATGCAAAACCCTTGGACTTCCCAATTAACAGCAATTAAATCTTTTCTGATTTAAAATATTCCCTCTCAGATAAACTCAACATTGTTGCAGAACTTGCTAAGTGATTTTCTCTCCCCTTTATCCTTCCCAGTATAAACTCTGGATGCAAGATGAAGCTTCTAGATATTAAAGGAAGGGACTCCTATTTCACATGCTCTCGAGAGCTAGCTTTCTAGAAACAGTGAGGTATAATTCTTTTACCTGTTCTTTAAACGTTGGTCTCTGTCGCCCTACATCAACTACTCAAGACTCAATGGCTATTGTAACTCATGGTCTTCCGGGCAGCCCTACCTTGCTGATTTGGATCAGCTGTGATGACAGAGTCAAATCCTGCCCCGCTGTTCTCCTCTCTCCCTTCCAGGAAATTCCTCATTCTCCTTCTGCTTTTAGTAAAATTCTATGGTCTGATGTTCAAACTTTTCTGGAAATGTCAGCATCTCTGAGAATTTAAGGAATCATTTTAAATCTCCCTTTTCTTCTAAAAAAAGTCCTTAAGATTATTTTCTAACAATGTATTCAAAAGCCAAGTTTTAGATTTAAATTTAATGTATAGTAAAAGGACAACTGAGCTTGAGCCTTTACAGTTCTGCTGAAAAGCATCAGTCACCAAGAAACTTCATGCAGCCAAAGTCAAGAGCAGTGTCTTTTATGCAAGCCTCTCTTCTCTTTTCTTTCTATTTCTCTGAGTTATTCCATCCATTCCCACGGCTTTATATACCATTCTTATCCTGTTGAATCTTACATTTTAAACCCAGTACTGCTTCTCCAGTCAGCTCCAAATTCAGATATCCAAATATCAAACTAAAGCATTGACTCTCTTCGACATCTCAAAATTAACATGCCCCAAAGAGAATTCTTGACACCCCAATCAACCATGATGTCGCACTTGTAAACCCCAAAAACCTCCTAAATGCAAGTGAAGACCCCCACTTCCCCTCTCATCCCCCCTCACATCCCATTCTCAACACAGAAATCATCATGCTCCTCATTACTCTAAACCTTCTAGTGCATTGATGTCACATTTAGCGTAAACTTTTCATTTGCTCTGGTTTATAAGGCCTTTAATGATCTGGCTGCTGACTACTTCTCTGCCCTCATCTGGTACCAAAATTGTCTACCATGCTCTTGTCACATTGAATTTCTTCCTATATTTAATTACACAGATCATTACGGTTTCAAGGCTTCCCACTTATTCCCTCTGCCTATAACAAAATTCTCCTAGAACTTCACCTTGCTGCCTCCTTCAAATTATCCAGTCTCAGCTTAAATTTTAACTTTCCAGACATTTTTAATAAATTTTATTTTTTTAGAGCAGTTTTAGGTTCACAAAAAAAATGGATCAGTAAGTACAGAAATTTCCCATATACTCCCTGCACCTACACATGCGTAGCTTCCCCTACTATCAACATCCCTCACCAGAGTAGTGCATTTGTTACAAGAGATGAATCTACATTGACAATCATTATCAGCTAAAGCCCATAGTTTACATCAGGGTTCACTCTTGGTGGGTGTACATTCTACGGGTTTTTAAAAATGCATAATGACATATATCCACCATTATGATATCATACAGAGTAATTTCACTGCCCTAAAAATCCTCTGTGCTCTGCTGATTCATCCCACCCTTCCTGTTACCTCTGGAAATCAGTTCATTTTTACTGTCTCCAAATTTTTTCCTTTTCAAGAATGTCATACAGTTGGAATCACAAGAGTATGTATTCTTTTCAGAAGGGCTCCTTTCATTCAGTAATATGCGCTTAAGCTTCCTCCATGTCTTTTCATGGCTTGATAGCTCATTTATTTTTAGTGCTGAATAATATCCCATTGTCTATATATACCACAGTTTATTTATCCATTCACCTACTGAAAGACATCTCTGTTGATTCTAAATTTTGGCAATTATGAATAAAGCTGCTATAAACATCAATGTGCAGATTTTTGCATGGAGATAAGTTTTCAGCTCCTTTGGGTAAATATGCTGCAGTGCAATTACTGGATTGTATGATAAGGATATATTTAGTTTTGTAACCATATTGTATTGTATACTTACAAATTCGCTAAGAGGGTAGATCTTATGTTAAGTGCTCTTATCACACAAAAAAATGATAATATAAAAAGAGAGTGGGATGAAACTTTTGGAGGTTATGGATATGTTTATGGCATAGATTGTGGTAATGGTTTTACATGTGTATACTTAACTCCATACTCATCAAGTCATCAAGTCATATACATTGAATATGAATAGCTTATTGCATGTCAAAAAATAAAAGATACATATACATACACATATGTATAATATATACCACACACACACAAACATATAAAAACATAAATACATACAAAAGAAACCTCCAAACTTTCTCTTATAGTGGCTATGCTATTTTGCATTCCCATCAGCAATGATTTAAAGTTCCTGGTTTCTACACCCTCCACAGCATTTGATGTTGTGAGTGTTTCAAATTTGGGCCAATCTACCAGGTGTGTAGTGGTATCTCATTGTTGGTTTGGTTTGCATTTCCCTGACAACATAAAATGTGGAGCATCTTTTATGCTTATTTGCCATCAGTATATTTTCTTTGGTGAGGTGGCTGTTAAAATCTTTGGTTCATTTTTAAAACAGGTTTTCTTTACTTATTGTTAAATTTTAAGAGTTCTTTGTATATTTTGGATAATAGCCCTTTATCAGATATGTCTTTTACAAATATTTTCTCTCAGTCCAGGGCTGTTCTGTTTATTCTCTAGATAGTGTCTTTCAAAGATCAGAGTTTTGTCTTTTTAAAGATTGGCACCTGAGCTAACATCTATTGCCAATCTTCTTTTTTTCTTCTTCTTTCTCTCCCCAAAGCCCCCCAGTACGTAGTTGTATATTTTACAGCCTCTGGCTGTGCTATGTGAGAAGCCACCTCAGCATGTCCTGATGAGTGGTGCCATGTCCACAGCCAGGATCCGAATCAGTGAAACCCCAGGCTGCCTAAGTAGAGTGCATGAACTTAACCACTCGGCCATGGGGCTGGCCCCCAGACTTTTTTTTATTATTTTAGTAAAGTCTAGCTTATCGATTCTTTCTTTAATGGATTGTCTAAAAAGTCATCAGCAAACCCAACATCATCTAGATTTTCTCCTATGTTCTCTTCTAGGAGTTTTATAATTTTTCATTTAAATCTGTGATCTGTTTTGTTCCAGACATATTTCTCTGCCCATCCTCTCATTGTTCACTTCCCTATTACCCAGCTGCTTCTGTCCTTTAACATACTTCATTCTTCTAGGTAGTAGGTACAACCATGTCTGGCTATATCTATCCATCCATCTATTTTCTAATCTAATTTATCTATCACATTCCTATCTATCTATCTAATATAAATCATTTATTGCATATTGCCTTTCTCCCTCACAAAAATAAAAGCTCTGCTAGGGAAGGAAAATTATATGACTTATTTACTGTTACATCTTCAGTGCACAGAATGATCTCAAAAATGTAGTATACATTCATTAATGATATGTCATGTAAATGAATAAATACAATGTGGAGTACCTAGTAGAAATAATAACTGACTTCGGGTGGGCCTCTCCAAAATCCCAAACCAAAATATACCAGTCTTAGCAAAGTCAAACTAAAATAATTATCAGTGTCCTTTTGGAAAGGGAAAAGTTCCAAAAAAGGCAGTTTTGATAGTTTGTGGCCATTTACAAAGCAGGCTACAGTGTTCTCTTATTTTAGTGTGATGCCATATGGGAAACATAAACTATGTTGTGATTCTAAGGTGGTGTCTATACAGGCTTGCAGAACTTTGTTTTCATTCTGACCAACTGTGTTTATTTTTAAATTTTATATCTATCTATTCATCTATTTATTTGTTGCATAGAATGATGGCTCCCAACATTGCAAGATTCCTAATCAAGGAACAAGGACTTATTTATGTTCTTTAATAAGGTGAAAACATGGATTTTAACATGTTATTGTTGTTTTGTTTTCTTTAGAAAAGTTATTGTGGCTTTTTCACATTTTCATAATTTTGTAATTGGTACTTTTATAGCATTCATGCTTGTGATAGCATTTAAAAAGTACAGAAATATACAGAGAAG